CATCCATGCTATGTTCGGATATCCCCCCCCCCGGGAACCTCAACGAATGGCGAGATCTCCTCCTCAACCAACATGAGGAAGAGACACCAAGACAACTTGTGTTAGGATTAGTAAAATTATATTTCGCACAAGCAAATTAAAATGTGGGACGAATGTTTTCATTACATAATTTAAAAGTTTATCATTGAATTTTTTCTTTCTTGTGTTGTTGTTACTTATGCCACATGATCGACAGTAACAGCGGATCAAGGCCCACGAAAGTCATCGTGTCAAGGGTCATAGCTTTGAGCACCATGAAAGTAACAGTACGACTTTGCTCGGTTCCAGCCGAATTTTGAGGGAGAACACCCTGGGGGTGGTCAGAGACCTCCCATCATGTCTCTTCTTCCACCAACCTCACGAGAGAATACGTGGCTCGACGGCTATTTAGAGTACCCCCCGTGCCGGAAAGGCACTATACATTTACAAACATCCATATCTTCTCTGGGATTCGAGCCCAGGCCCTATGGCTCAGCAGTTAGCGTCACTAACCACTATACCGGATGGGCGGCTTTTTCTTTCTTTTTTTACGTAAGTGAACAAATAATGCAAGTTTCTTAAGTTTATATGAATAAATATTTCAAAACTAATAAAATACTTTTAAAGCAAATTTCTCAACGCATCCTTCTTAGGATAATTCTTCACGTCATTTGCCTGATGTATTAAAACATTATCAGTATTATTTTTTTTCTAGTATTACACAATTTTTTTAAACACCAAAGACGATCCAAATTTAATCTTGTTCGAAAGAAAAAAGAAGAGGAAAAAAATGAAAAATTTTACTTGATTAAAAGGTTCGAAAAATAGAGTAACTATATCTAGTTGAATGAGGATTCAATTTATTATTTGAACTTAAAAAATAATTCAAAAAAATTCAAACTAATTTTTTTAAAAAAAAATAATATAATAATAATAATAAATAAATAAAAATCTTCAAAACATAATTTGTAATATAATATTTTATTTATTCCATAATTCTATATAAAAATAGAGATTTTGTACAGATACATGTAGCATGTTTTTAAACTAATTTATTCTTTCAAATTCATTTGTAAAATGCAAGAAATATTTCCGGACTTCTATTTCTTCCAATGACTGTTATAAAAAAATTTAAGCTTCCAAATAGAAAAATTTAAACTGAAGAAATCAGCAGCGATTTTATAAGGAGATTAGTTTTTACGAGTTCATATCAGTTTTAAAACGCGCGCGAAAAATGTCTTGATATATACAAAAACTTTCGAAGAAAAAAAGCTGTATTTCGTTGCACATTTTACTTCCCAAGTTCTTTTGAGTGTTCTTCATTTCTCTATTTTTCAAGCTAGAAAACTTTTTTGTAACTATAACATGCTTCATGAATACTAACATGAATGTAAAAAATTCAAAAGTATATGAGTATTAAATGCATGATTAAGAGAAATTTTGTAGAATACAATAAATTGCATCTGAAATACGAACAACGTAACTGAAACGTAATCTTATAGAATAGTTAAAAAACTGAAATGTGTGTGCCAAAAATGAAGTTTTCATGCCTCTTTTTCTCTCTAAAGCCAGTTATTAGTGAGCCTCGCTTTTTATGCACCTCCAAAAAGAAAATGTTGTGCCTTTCCAAACCTATCTTTCAACATGTTTGAAGTTATGATCACAGAATCGGATAGCTATCTTGTTTTCAATCTCTGAGGACGGAAAAGAGCAATTTCTTGTAAATTAACACGAAAAACATGCTGAAAAGACTTTCAGATGGTCGGTGTACTATTCTTCTGCAGGCCCCGTTCATTATTGATTTCTTATATGCCTCATCGGTGTAATAAGACCTGAAAAAGGTTCGTCTGTTTTCTTGTAAATCCTCGTGGTTAAAACAGTGCGTGATTGTTTTCACGTGGCCGGAGCGCTGTTCTTCTACGTAGGTTTGGTTATTTTGAGATTTCCGCGTGACTTATTGACGTCGTAAAACTTTAGAAAGCGTACATCTCCTTTTCCACTAAAACAAACCGGGGAATTCTCTCGTACTGATTTTTCCATACGAAGGGTTTCATTACTAAGGAATAAAGAAATAATCTTACGATTTTTTTCTATGGTTTAAGGATTTTGTTCTTTTTTGAGCTACACCATTTTAAAAATGCCACATTACCTTGCTTCCTAACAAAATAAGATTATGTTTAAAATTGAGCAGATATGCTCATAAATCAGAATCATTTATTGTACTAATTTTTCTTTTGATACTTTTGAAATATTTTACTGAAAAATGGTTGTAGTTTTGAAGAGTTTTATATTAACGTGGTGTGCTCTCTTTCAGTGTCGAAACTAAGACTAGAAAAGAAAATTTTTAGCGGGTTTCTTACATGTGCAGTTGAAAGAAGAAATCATTTTCGGAGATTAATATGCAAAGTAAAAGCCCATTTTATACATCAAGTGTGTGAAAGAGCGAGAGAGTGCCGAAAACCTACTGTTAAATATCCATATCAATAAAAACTGTCTTGCAAATGTTTGTGTTTAAGAGAGAGAGGTTTAGGTATGTGTAGCAGTTAAATACTAGAAAAAGTATAGTAAAAATATTTGCCAAAATCATTTAATATAGATTTCAAGCATAATTGTTGACTGAAAAAATTAAAAAATTAATTCAAACTCAAAAAATATGCTTTTAAGTGCATTCTCTTAGCAAGAAATTTGAACGATTCATTCGTAGTTGATATATCAATAAAATTTGTTTCAAGAAAACATCCCACAGAAGCTTTATGAGAGGTACTGGAAACTGCAATGAGAAGCCCTTTTTGTTTTATCAAAAATTTTCTAGTACTTGACTCCTCATACTTCCACAGCCTTTAATGCTAGAACGTTTAAATCTCAACTTGCTTTAATACAACTTTTAGTAGCCCCTCCCCATTACTCTACAAGTTTACCTTCCCTGGAACCAGGCCTTAATTTACTCATCTCTGACTACGAAGTATATCACTCTATTTGTGGTGGGCTACCACTATGGTATTTGAGACTGAGGATACACTCCCGAACATATTTTAGGTAAGTAAAGCTTTTATTTTTCTCTTTTGCAATAAGTCAAAACGAAGAAAAAATACGTTTGATTCATTATGTCTGATTTATTGTCGTTGACTTTCGGTAAATGTAGAAAAATTACTGTACAGGTACAAGTTGCTGCAGTATTGTATAAATGAGAAACTGTAATAATAAATATATTTCTTAAATAACAAACTATGAATTAAATACTAATTATGAAAAAGTGCAGTAAAAGTTCCAAGTGCAATTTTACAAGGAATGAATTGAGCATAATTAAATTTCAATTCAATTGCTAAAGAGTCTTGATAGTTAAAAGATGCATGCTTCTCTAAGATTTCCTCGGTAGGGCCTAAATAGCGTTTTTTGTCAAAAAGGAGTTTTTAGGCGTTTGATCTTTCCATAGAGATGGATCCCAATCTTCAGAGATGTCCAGAGGGCAGTTCCAGATCAGCGGAAATTCAATAAACCTGAAACATCCATCCATCGAGCGAATACTTGCTCCCAAGAGCGACACTACAAATCTATCAAGCAACTAGTTTTCTTCCGAGGAATAAATTTTTGCTATCATCAGTTTTCTTCTTTTATTTAATTTGAGAATCAGGCGTTTATAACTTTAAACTTTCAACTTTTCTATATCACTTGAATCTATTGAATACTAGATCACATTATTCCACAAAGAATTTTGAACTTTCCTACAATCCTCAGGAACTGAGTTGCAATCGTATACAAATTACTTGGCACATTTTTTTTAAAATACTGAAAGACGTTTTAGGACTAACGCTAAATTATGCCCTCTATCATCAACACATAATATTATTAGTTTTGAGAAGCTGAAAATCTTTCAGAAAGAAAGACTTTCTATCATGTGTTTCATTTTAGCTGTCATTAGTTGCGTGATTTGATATAAAGTTTCTGCAGTATAACATTTCAACATTCATAGGTAAGTCTATATATTGTATATTTTTTATTATATTAACTGCTTGGAGGGGGGGGGGTACACCTTGAACACCTAAAGGTGAACAAACACATTTCATACCCATTGCTCAAATTGTAAAACTGTAATTTACATTTATGTAGTTCTACCTTTCAACTAATCTCTTTAAAATTTTCTGACTTTTGTATACTTCTTTTGTGTGTTTCTTTCCCGCAAAATTCATTCTTGGCGCTCCTTTTCAGTAAAATTCAACTTTTTACATCCCATTTGTACTAACTATAAATCTTATGTATAAATAAACTTATTGCAGAATCACGAAAAGCTTTTTTTATACAGAGAGATAATATCTAAAAAATATTGTTTTTTGTAAAATTAGAAAATAGGATTTGTTTTGATAGGAAGCGTTTTCAAATTATTTTTAAAGCTTTATTTGAAGTGGTGCTTTTAAGTACCGCCGCGCAAAGTAGCAATTGATAATGTTTTTAGCCTTAACTTATTTTAACTTTTAAATACTGTAGAGTCTATGTAGCTATTTTATATACTTTTTAGCTTACGAATCAAAAAATATTTTGTTCACGAATTTAAGAAAAAAATAAAATCTTTTTAATCTTTATTTAGTTTATAGATACATATTTTTCTTTTCATGCATAGTATGAAATAGACAGTGGGCATGTTTTTTGCTTGAATAAATTGTTATTTACAAAACGTGTATTTTTATTTTCACTTAGCCATTTGAATATCTCCCGTCTCAATTCCGAAAACCATAGAACACGCGACCTAACAACAGCAGTTATGTCACTCTTGAAAGGCTCCCTTCACTCAAAATGTGAAGTGTGCAATGTATTTTTAAGCTAAAATGGGGGGGGGGGATTATTTTCGTGATTTTCACAAAGAACAGGCGTATATATCTTATTATACAAGGTATTAAAACATTATAATGAGGTACAGTTTAATTTTTCAGTGGTAAAATATTTTCGTCACTAAAAGAACCAATTTAATTTATTAGCTCCAGTTAATGATATTTTTAGCCGCCAAACCCAGTATGTTGGATATGACTTTCGGCTTGTAATCGAGTGGGCTCGGGTTCGAATCCCGAATAATGCATGGCTGTATCTTCGGGAAAGAAGTTGGACTTTTTTTCACCTGAAATGGATTCCCGTATCAAAATTAAAGCAGCGCAGCCCTTCTGCTCTATGCTGGGATCATCGTTTGTAATAATATCTATATTCTTCTGTGATTGTATTGTATGTTTCTGTTCGTCTATTTTTCATACATATTCCAGTATGAAACGCACAACAAAATGATATTTTTTGAATTTTGTAATATATTTCGTACAAATATTCTCTAATATGCTTTTATAATGTAATAAAAAAGTTTTAAGGAAATATTCTTTTCATTCATAGTTTGGGGACACAAAGGGTTAGAAAACGCAAATATACATCATATGTAAGATTAGTGTGAGTGAGTGAGTGAATATATTAACGTCGCACACTGTTCAGCTACTCGGAGGGCTTTTGGCGACGGACCTCGTAATTCTGAACCATGGTCAAGTGGCGAGGACAACATTTAGTTAGGCAACCCCTTCTCTCCACTACCACATCACACCAACAGGAGGACATTTGCAGTGTAAGTGGGGTGTAATAAACATTTTTATTTTTCTAATATTCTGAATCCCATGATTTTCTGTATAGAATAATAAAAAAAAAGAACATAATTAAGAAAATAATTTTTCAGCCTTTGGATACAACATCTTTGAATAATTCTTAGTAAATAGTTTTTAATCTAAAAATTCCTAATTAATGTTTTTGAGTTTCACAAGAGTTTTTAGTTAAAAATTAGAATGTGTGTGTGGGGGGGGGGTGCGTCCTTATTTCAGAAACTCTACTTCATATTTAAATATATTACATAATTTACTTCATATGTCTGTAATAGTTTATAAGACTATCAAGAACCAAATTCGCTCGTATGCGAATGTTTCAGTCACTAAATGTTTATTTAAAAAGTTCTGATTTATCAGCCATGGAATTAATTTAGTTTCATTGATGATTTGGGAAGAATGAATAGTAATATACACGCATAAATTTAATATGAGGAAAATTTAAGGTGATGAATAGGAGGAAAAATTAATATTGTGGAAAAACCAAATCAAAATATCATAACTCTTATTGTATATCCATAAAAATATATTTTATCATAATCAATATTTATTTATTAATAATTTTTCTAACAAAAATAAATAAATATCTAAAAATATTGTGGATCCCTTGACACATATTGTAAATTATATCATGGGATTAAAATATGTAATACATATAAAACTCTTAAGGATATTATTACAAGAAAAAATTATTTTAAGTCCAATTTTTTGGCAAAAAATGAAAAAAAGAATCGCATATTTTCAAATATTCTATTTTTTGAATAATGCTTCCATAATAATAATATTTTGACTAGATATATAGCTAGAATATATATATTTAAGCTATGTATAGGATTTTTGAAAAATTCACATTATATTTTCACAGTTACAATCAATTGAAATAACTGAAGTTTTTTGTTAATGGTATATTAAAACATGAATAAATTCACTTCTAATTTATAAATTTCAAGAATCCTAAATCGAGATCTGTATAGAAATCTTAGCTATATATAGAGAGAAAAATATTATTATAGAATAATTTTTCATAAAATGAAAAGATTTTGGAAATATGTCATTCTTTTTTCACATTTTGTCAAGAGATTGTATTATTATTATTATTATTATTATTTGCAATATATTCTTAAAAATATTTTATATCTATATCTTTATTCTAGTGACACTAAATATTAAAAAAGAAGTGTTCGCTTATAAGCTTTTTCAAAAACATGGGTCCAACGTCGTCAGTCACCTAAATAAATAGGCAAAATCTTTCTTTTAAAAAGTTAGTGTTTACAAACTTCATTGCATTTTAGTTAAAGTGCGATAACCACCAGAGTATACAATTAAAGCAAAATACTGAAGCATTTTAATGCACAACATGAAAATTAGATAATCCATAAGCGAAAGCGCAGAGAAATTAAACTGAAAAAAAAGAGCTCTATGCGAAAATCTCTGTTTTCCTTGGGATTTTTCAAATTAGAAATTTCCGAAAGACCTTTTTATTTTATTTTTTGAGAGAAAAAAAAAGATTTCCGTCATCTCACCCTATCCAAATATACGTCTGGAGTAGTATTTACACAGTGTCTAGAGGATATATATATATACATGCAACCCATGCCAATTACTTCGTTTGGAGCTAATGTAATTCTTTCTAACAATATTGAAACCAAAAAAATGTTTTTGGATGTAATTCTTATGTGATGGAATTTCAAGCGAAAAAGAAATAACACATATATTATCCTACACCGCACCTAAAATTGCTTAAGACATCTTGTTTAAACAGCATCTATCGAAGACGTGAGTAAAATACCAAAAATCCAAGTTGAATCCAGAAACATTGCTGACAGTCTACGGTGAGACAAATCAGTTTCAATAGCTATCAAAGTAGTATGTGATTGTGGAAATGAATGAAAATAACTGTATATTGATAATTTCAAATCGGATACGTTGAAATAAAATAGTTGGTGCTTAGAAATGGGAAAATATATTCCCTTTTATCATCTTAAATATAATATATCTGAGGTATTGTAATGTCCATACGGGAAAAAATTATTTATTTATTTATTCTGTGTGTTTTTTCACAAGCAATCTTAGTGTTGTGATTTTATTATATTTGATAATAAAAGGATTAATGAATTTTAAAGCAGAGCTTCATATTATTAAAATACAGTTGATGCAAGTTTCTTATATAAATAAATTTCAATCATTTTATATTTAATGGAAATTATTTTAGATATCTTTACATTTTCCTTAAATACATATAAAAAATTGCTTTGAAGTTTAAGTAAGCAACATCATCAAATTAGCACATCAAAGATGTAGCACATTCAAAAATAACATTAATCAAAAATGTGTGTTTAAAAGAAGTGTTTCATGCGTAAATAAATATCAAGCAATGATGCTCATAATTCTGTAATTTTTATTTAGATGTATTATGCAAAAAATACGTAAATTTATATTTATTTGACAATTAATCATTAAATTTAGTTCAAGTGATTCCCTAACATAAGATTTGTATTGCATTTAGCTAAATAATTCTAACTTAGTAGAATGAATAGTTAACTTTATTGATACTACTTATTGTATGTGACCATTTTTTAAGCTTGACATTTCATATCTACATACATATTTCAAAACATATTTTAGTCTTTTACAATAACAAGCATGTTATTTTCTCCCTTGCAAAGTAACTGTACTTCTACAGGGCGATATACCCGGTAAAATCACGATATGGTTAAAACTCAAGATATAAAACAAATTGTACTTAAACTAATCTACAGCATGCATAATTATATATATCCAAGTTCCTCAAAAGGTATTTCTATTCATAATTTTCACGATAAAAAATGTACAGGATGTTGCCAAATTCAACCAACAAATTCAGAAGTGTGATAGTAAGAACCACACATAGGGAAGGCAAATCACATAGAACATGGGGTCGAAAACAACGTTTAGTCGAAGTAAGTCGTAAAAACAGGAATAGAGAGTGTGATGTCGAATGAAATGAAAAGTGGCAATAAGAGGTAAGGAATACATTAATTAGACTGAAAGCAGGTTTACAATACAAGCAATGCATCTCAGCTCGACGTCAGAAATGCAACAAGTGAAGGAATTGTTCGAAGTTGGCCACGCAGGGCATAGCACAGCTAGCACCGACGGACTAATGATTGTCAGACGCGTTCAAACAAATCCGGTGTGCTAGAGAAATCAACTGAAGCGACGACGATCCGTTTGATGAGATCCTCGATTTTAACCATCGGCGTCTCATACACAAGCGACTTCAGGTGACCTCCAAGAAATCCAAGACAACAGAAGAAATCCAATGGATTGAAGTAAGGGCCAAGGCGTTGAGGCCAAGCACACACACAACTGGACCACCGCATCCTATCCACCTCACGGAATCCATATTTGCATGTTCCTCGTTCGTGTAATCCGATATTGTCATCAAATGCAGTTGAACACTCGCGTTTTATACAACGCCCTCCTGCGACAACTTGCTTACCGACCTTTTATTCTCCCCAGACGAGTGAAATTTGCATAAGTGCAGGTTGTTGTTTTTTTAACATCACGGGTTCCAAATTCTTTTTAGCCAAAATTAGCTCTCGCGCCATAAAGCAAATCAGTCACTCACTCACTCACTCCAAATTCTTGCATTAACGGCCACTGCCCTCCTCTGGCTCATCGTCATCCCGACGTCTACCATTATCGTGATTTTCACCGGCTAAACAGGGCTTGCGACCTTATGTTCTATAGTGGTTTGTCACCTCCATGCTGCCTACTATCTCCTCTCCAAATTTGTCGGTCGAATTTGGCAACACCCTGTATACTGCATTGATAAGTTACTTATTTATTTATTTTTTTTTGACAAATTTTGTTTCGACACGCTATGATCAATTCTCAATGTATTTTTAAATCAAAGTTGTTTATAATTTTAATTCATTGATAAAAAAAAATAGTAAAAACAAAAAGTTATTTTTTTTTTGTAATTGTACTGCTTTTGAAAGAATACAATAAATGTTGTCAAAAATATGCCTCCCAATTCTGATAAACTTACTGATCAATTACTAAAAATAGTATTAAGAATTCGGCCAAACAAATTTGCAATCTGAAGTAGAAATTACTAGCAAACCTAGGCACATAAATCAAAATAAATATAAATAAAAAAAGAAAAAACATCTTAATTAACAACCCCTAGTCTTGATGTAGCAATTTTGCTAGATCAGATTCTCAAACGTATTCGATACCATAAAAAATAGCAAATTAATTAAAGTAAATAAAAAATTATATGTGCGTGAGAAATGATTAAGATTTTGCTGAAAATGCAATTTACAAGCCAGAAATAAAAATATAAATCTGTGACATTCTCACTTACCGCGAAAAAGAAATTGCATTTTCCTAATCCTGTGAAGAAAAAATAAATCCATCATCAGTCTTCGAAATGGCGATCCATATGCCAATAAAAATTTAT